GACCTTACGTTCTGTCTCGTCGATGTGTTGTTCCCACTTGAGGGCTGAGTCCATGATGAGACCGAGGTATTTACAGGTTGCCTTGGGCTTAATTTCTCCCCATGGGCTGTGGAGTGTTGTGTCTCTGTCGATTCGGGTTTTCGCTCTTGTGAAGTGGGTAAGCTGGAACTTTTCGGGCGCGAAGACGGACGCGTGAGTGAGAGCCCACGTCTCGGCTTTCCAAAGCGCTTCTTGGAGCTTCTGACAGGTTTCCTCCGTGCTGTCTCCCACGGCAAGGATCGCTACGTCGTCGATGAAGCCGGTGGCTTTCGTGTCTCCGGTCTCATTGCAGCTATCCAAGAGATCCGCGTTGTAGAAGAGGTAGAGTATCGGCGAAAGGGGCGACCCTTGTGGGATGCCGGTGTCGAGTCTGTAGGTCTCGGATCGGAATCCGTCCACGTGGATGTCCGTCTCTCGGCATCCAAGGAAACTGGCAACCCAACGCACCGTCGCTTCGTCGATCCGCCTCTTCCGCAGGTTGTGCAGGAGTCGGCGGTGCGAAACGTTATCGAAGGCGCCTGACACGTCCAGAAGAAGTAGGCTTGCTACCATTCCCTGTCCTGAACCCCAGGCTTCGTATATCCTATCCACGATTTGGTGCAGTGCGTGTTCCGTCGACCGACATCTTCTCCCGCCCATGTGGCTTTCTGGCAGCAGCCCATGTGTTTCGGCAAGGTAGCTCAGTCTTCTCGCTATGATGGCATCCATGATCTTGCCCACCGTGTTCAGGAGGGCTATCGGCCCGTATGCTTTGGGCACTGTGTAGTTGTCTTTGCCTGGCTTTCTGAGTACCACCGTGGTGGACTTTCTGAAGTGTTGTGGACAATATCCTAGTCGGAGGCTCTGGTTGAATATGCGGACGAGATGTGGCGTGATCCAAGGTCTCGCCACTTGGAGTGCCAGGTTGGTGATGCCGTCGGGGCCCGGGGCCTTCAGCGGTGCTGCTTCCTGGATGGCGTCCTCTACTTCGCTTTCCGACACTGGCGGCAGGCCAATCTGGTTGCTGTACGATGCGTTGTCGATGTCTTCGAGATTTGCCTCGGGTGGCGGGGGGAAGAAGGTCTCCTTGAAGAGTGCAGCTTTCTCTTCGGGCGTTGCGGCGACCTGAGACGTGTTAGGGTTCCTGATTTCCGGCGTGACGGTCGACGGCTGGCTTTGTCTGTTCCGGGCCCATTTGGCGATCTTCCATAGCGATCTAGGTGACTCAGCCGCTGTTTCGACTGCTTCGCGATGTGCTTGTTGGAGAGCTTTCTTTATGATGCGGCCTTTCCTGTTGCGTGCTGTTCTGTATGCCTCTCAGCTCTCCTCTGTCTGTCGCTCGCTATGGTCGCGGCGGAGTCGCTTCGTCTCGGCCAGGATGGCTGCACACTTCTCGTCCCAGCCTCTCCTAGACTTTGGTGAAAGGGTGCTGGTCGGGACCGCGGCTTTGATAGCGGCTGAGAGGGCGTCCATGGTTGTCTCTACATATCTGTCGAGCGCCGCCTTCGTTCTTGGCCTTCGTAGCTGCGGCAGCGATCCACGGAGAGTCTCGATAAACGTTTCCTTATCAATAGCTTCCCACTTTCGTTTCTTCTCTTGCTGTAGCTCGGTCACTGCTAGGTGCAGCGACGTTGCTATGGGTAAATGATCGGAGTCATGGTTGATGTTATGATCTACTTCGCATCTGATCATTCGGTCAACGAGACCTACAGTAACAAGACAGAGGTCGATGGTTGTCCGGTGATCTCCTTCTTCGTACGTAATGGTTCCCGCTCTCAGTTGACTCGTGAGGTTCATGTCGTCCATTAGATCTAAGAGCTCAGTTGCTTCGCGGTCCGGCGCTCGGATATCGCTGCCTCCCCACAGCTCATGGTGTAGGTTGAAGTCGCCGACGACGATTTGCTCGACGTGCTGGTGTGTTTCCAGTGTTGTTCGTAGCTGCTGTAGGGCCGGCTGCCGATCTTCCTCCCGCGGTGACGGGTTGTACACATTATGTAGCACCAGGCTTGTTTCGGTATCGTCATCTGTTGCGATAGCCAGAGTGCAGAGATCTCTGCTAACCTCCCTAAACTGCCAACGAGAGTGGTCGAGCTTCTTGTTGATGAAGAAGCAGACCCTGGCCGGGCCATTTTTCTCGCCGCAGGGGTAGCACAGGTGGAACCGATCCTTGGCCGGATGGTGCGTCGTTGCGCTGTAGGGGTTCCTCCAGGGTTCCTGAATAGCAATGATGTCGTAATTATCGATGTTCGGGTCACGGAGAAGTGTCGCCATGACGGTGTCCTTCGATTTTCTTACGTTGTACTGTAGTATTGTGAGTGTATGTTGTGCGTTCATTCGCTATCGTCGACGACGATCTCCATCGCTGTGCTGTTGCTTATCGTCTGCATGTCTGTCATCTGCGTGTTAGGGTCGAGCGCCTCGAGCGCTCTTCGCGATCGGATGATTGTGCGTCTCGGACGCGTATTCTCTGCGGCTACGGTGATCGTCTCCTCCGATTCCTGGGTTGCTGTCGGGTTAGGCCTCTTCTGGATCTTCTTCGTTGGGGACCGGCTCCGGCTCGGGCGATTCTCCTGGGATTGGCCTGGTTCCAATGTCGGCCGTGCGATTCTCGGGTTCGGCCTGGTCCGGGTTTCCGATCCTAGGGCCGGCGGCGGGGCCGTCTGTTCCGGATGGTACCTCGACCGTAGGCCGTATGCGGCCTTGATCTTGGCCTTCTCGCGTATCCTGGTAGGGCATCCGCCGTGCCATGCCTCGTGTTCGCCGTAGCATGCGGCGCATTTCCTTGGGGTCGTCGTGTCGCTTTTCGAGGGGCAATCTCGGGTCGCGTGTTCTTGCGCACAGTAGCCGCATGTTGTCGTTGCCTTGCATTGGGTTCCTATGTGGCCGTATGCGCAGCACTTGAAACACTGTCTCAGACGGCACTGTCTATCGTATCGCTTGTATTGGAACACCTGGCCTTGCCAGATGAGTCCCTCGTCAATCAGTTTGTTGGCGTCTTCTGCCCTTGAGAGCTCCACGACCACTGATGATGCCGTCTTTTTGCTGGCCGATTGGGTCAGCCAGCCTACGTACTTAATGTCTGCTCTGGGGATGAATGCTTTGTTATCCTGCAGCAGGTCGTCTCTGATTTCTGTAAAGCGGTCCATGTTCATGGAGCTGGTTCTGATGCCGTGCGCCAGCACTCCGTAGGTTGGGATTCTCACGGCGGCTCCGTTGCCGATGTGGTTTTCCCAGTCCTCGGCAAACTGCCGGAGGGTCTCAATGTCTTTCGTCGTTGCTGTCTTGACGCTCAGGTCGCCGCTCTTGAGCTGATTGGCGGACACGGTCTTGAGCTTGCGGATATGCTCGTTGCTGCTTTGTTCGATGGCGCGGTCTACGTGTGCCTTGAGGCTACGGGGGTTCATGGCTCTTATGCTGGCAATGGTGATAGGGTCTCTAATGTTCACTATGATTTCACGCAGAATCTGGGTCTGGGACGCTCTCTGGTTACAGGGGTTAGGCATGCTCCCTGCAAGTCCTCCTCGGGCGGCTACGCTGGCATATGACTGCACGGTGTTCCCCTGATTCATCGGCTCCAGTGCTTTGATATCCTTCACGACCTTGACCGCCAGCTCGCTGGCTTTCCAAGCCTCCTTGGCAGCCGCGCTGGCTGCGCGCGTTGTGTTGGTGTTTTCCTTCAGTTCGGCCGTATTCTGCTGCATAGCAATCCTGATGGTTCTCGATTCGCGGATGTTGCTCTCGTTGGCTGTCTTGTTTTCCGCACGTAGACTCTCAATAGCTTGGTGGAGGTGCCCGAGCTCGGGCAATTTCTGCAATTTGGCCAGCAGGGAGATGGTGGCAATGAGAGTGAGTCTCACGGCTTTCGGGTCAAGGGGGTGTTCGTTTGCGGTGTCGATTGATTTGAGTGCTGTCTGAAGGTGTCTGCTAAGTTGAGTGGCGTGCTCTCGATGGTGCGTTGGCCATGTTTGCTCCTGGGGCCATGGGGTTGCCATGGTGCCTACGTCGTTATGGGCTTCGCGACGAGCACACGGCTATCCAATTGACCTTTCGGAGTGTATTGTGGCGCTGTTTTTGCTCCGATTTCAAAATTCCGTTCTCGCTGTTGTTGATGTTTTCCGCTTGGGCAGGCTCTCGGCCTGAACATTATGACTTGGATAGAAGAAGTCACGTGCCAATCGCTGCTGTCAGGGCTCAGCACCTCCAAAAACAGTGTTTATCGTGGCAGTTCAGGATCTCATTCACCGACTGTCCTCAATCGATGCAGCAGTGCGCGGTCGACAAATTTCCTGGCCGCCTAGACATTCTGATCAGCCCCAAATTCGCCAATGGACGAGAAATCAAGTAGTACTCAGCTTGACCCTACCGCTAAGGAATATCAGGATACAAGAGCAGCTACGTTGGCCGTGCTGCGACCCTACTCTCTCTCGAGATAAACCAGTGCCTCGACTGCATGTTTACCTGTGAGACAAAATGGGCTTTCATGGGAGGATTGGACAGACCTGTCATGAGATCGCTGCTAGGCGTTGACGATTGAGATATAGGTTACCGACGGCCTCTTGCAATGATCGTGGCATGCGTCCGTAGGCAACGTGATGATTCGCCTTGTCGCCAGGAATTTCATGAACCGTGACGATGTTCGGATGCTGAACTAACTGGAGCATGGTTGTCTGCTGCGCAGATAATTGTGGAAAGTGGCAGATGTCTACGACGTGACCAGATGTCCCTTTCTTTTCGGTAACGAGGACAAGATCGGCATCTTCTAGCGCTTGCCTATACACGCAATATACTCTCGTAGGCAGTTCATGGCGATGTTGTCTCGATTAATACCGGTGGCTCTTTCAGAGCTTTCGTCATGTCTTGCTTTGACGCTCTTCAGGAGTTCCAGTTGGCAGGGGTTTCTTAGGTGATGTCGAGGGCTCTCTCTATGGAGATCACTTATGTTTTTTGCAATGTTTCCTCTTTTGGCTAATGCTACACGGATATCAGTCGTCGGCGTGAAATGAAAGATTGTCCACCTCGGCCGTGCTGTCGCGGTGTTCAGTCGCCGAATGGAGAGCTGGCTGCGTCAACATCGCGAGGTCCGGGTCGGATGCTGCGCCAGTACACCAAGACAATAGGCCCCCCAGGAACATAGGCTCCGAAGCCAGTTTTCGAACCTGCGACGCAGAGGCATACGTCTCCAAGCCAATTCTCGCCACAGGCAGGATGCCCCATGTGACCAGACTGAGAAGCACTTCTGTGAGGGCCTGGATGCTGTCTTTCAGTCGGACATGCGTATCTAACCGATTCAGCACCGCGAGGAGATCACCATCACGAAGTCGTCGAATGCTTACGGAGTTAGTACCTGACCAAGCAGACGGCACTGTGCACTAACTCTTCATTCCTCAAATCGCTCGGCAGGAGTAGAAGGACCCCGCACCCGTACCTGGCAACTAGTGTGGTTAGCTTATTCCCGAGGGTCAGCCACCTGTTGAATGCGCTCTTCAGCGGCTTCCTCTTGAGCTTCGGCCCCCGACCAGCCTGCTTTTCGACTGATGAGGCGCTAGGGAAAAGCCTCTCCGCAAATTGGTCAACCAGAGACTGGGAGCCGCTGCCTGGATCTGCCGCCTCAATCGTCGTCTCGTCTAGGTCTCTCGCCCTGTTGTATAAGTGGACCATCTGAGTATGATGATAGCGCTTGATAGCAATGGAAAAGTGAATGCTTGAACTAGCTGCAGCCGCCTGCTCTCTGAGGGAATCAAGTCGTTCCAGCACAGACGGGCCATCCAAGTCACCTTCCGGTTCGCCAGGCAGGACCTGTCGCGTCCCGCTAACGATACTCTGATCGCGAGCCCTCGATGCCCTGCAGCTGTCCCATAGGCGTACGAGAGTCTCTGGGCTACCGATTTTCTCCACTTTGGCGATGATTGGTGGGATGCGTCCAGCTCTGCTATCCTTCCTACGCTTCATGGGGGCAGCAGCGCCATCAGCCTCTACGGATTTGCACGTTGGCGACGTGCCTCCAAAAGCTTATGGATTGGCTTCGACGGAAACAATTGGCGAGCGGCTAGGTGCATGTCCGTCTGATCCTGAGCCTGCCTCACCATCGCATGTACAGGGAGGCATGGCCGAGCCGGCTCGTGTCGGTTTTGAGGTGGCCTCGACACTAGACATGACCCGGGGCTGGTACATATATCTCGAAATCACGGTTGTGAACTTATCTCGAAACGAAAGGTCTCGGTCGAGGAAGGAACTGACTGCATCAAAATCACAATCGAGACGATGGCAGAAGCTGTGCAACTTATTCGCTGTCAGTAGGTATGCTAAGCGGTCGCTACGAAACAAAGACGTTACCTCCTGCGCCAAGTCCACAGGAGCAGGCATCTTGGAAGAAGTGAAATGGCCTTCTCAATGGCAAATACAGTGGCACGAAGCGACTTTAAATACTTGACCTACTAATACGAAGTCATCAACTGTAATGACTAGCCATTACAGTATTGCACATGTATCGCTTCCTCTTTTGCAAACATGTCAACGTTTGAGAAGTCCAATACTGCCTCAGCAAACCTTTGGCAATGGCTGTGGCAGCTTGTTTGCAAACAAAATGTGGGGTCGGGATGGTGTCTAGCAGTACGAGTTGCGGTGCTTCATTGAAATATACTCGGCACCTTGTTTGGCTTCAATAACGGCCATTACCTACTACCAAGCGCGGTGAACTGCACGAATCAACTCAAAGTCTAGCTTGTGTGGGGTCAAGTCCAGAGAGATAGCGCGTGTTGCGAAGAGTAAGCAACATATGCTCGTTACCATCGATAAAATCCCTTGCTGGTGTTTGGCCTTTGCCATGGACTGAAACAGGCTCAGCAAACACCACGATGCGTAGGCAACGTACGATTGAAGAATGTAATCGAAGCGAATGGAAGTCTATGTTCCAGAGCAGGCGCCTGCCGTGTAATTCGCGCATCGCGACCAGCCTTTCGTTATTCCAGCCACAGCGACGTGATGAGAGGTAACACGTCTTGCGGTAGGCCTACTTCATCAGGAACCAAGATTGCGCCGCTTAAGTGGCTGATGCGGACCTGCAATTTGCTACAGTGGCTCATGGATGGAGCCCAACGGTGCGTTATATATTTGGCGCAGATGTTTGCAAGAGTCTGGTTTCCTCGCTGGCCATCGTGTACCCAAGCATCCACGTTCCGGGTCCGGAACCGCGATCAAAGTTCAAGTCACTAGACCGCAATCCCCTTTGCGGGCTTCGTTGCACATCTTAGATCCAGGATTCTAGGCTACATGGTCAGCGGGGACTCCGCTCCCGGGTGACAAACAAACAAGGCTAGGCCACTGAAAGCCGAACAACTGAGGATCAAGCGCGACACCCACTTCGCTCTATGTATTGTCTACACTATCCATTCTTTAAGTTGCCTGTTCAAAATTTTGTTCCCGCTACTGCACATGGTTCTCAAGCAGTAAATCGCAGTGAGCGCTCGGAGGTGGCGTTGCTGGTGAGTGCAACGCGTTGAAGCGCCCTTCCGGCGTAGGCGTCAACGTGGCCCTCACCTCGTACCCAGATCCGGTGTATGTACTATCAGGAGCCATCTCGGTCGGTGCTGCTTAAAACATCATCCATGTCCCTGCGTACTTTCGTGCGCTTTTTTATTTAGTATTGCTTGTATAAATATTCGCTGAAAATCTGTTTTGTAACTTGGAGAACACAAGTCTGGACCCCTCTGTTCAGCACGGAAATGTATCTGCGACTTGAATCATGGCCAGTGACTCACAATTTACAAGGCAGATTACGCTATCACACTGTATCATGGCCAGGGAGTCACTCGAGGTTAGCAAGCGGACACAGAGAGGGATGGATGGGTGCAACGCAATAATGCTGCTTCGTGGCCTTCGCAAATCACATACAAACGTCTGTAGTGTTACTGCTCAGGCCTTGAGCGAAAACCCTTGGTCCCAACCAGTCGCGTTCAAAGGTGCTCAGGATGGAACTGTGCGAAGCGCTGCCCAACTTTGAATGTCTTCTGTTCGGGCGAGGAAGACAGCCAATGAAAGCCTGACATCCACCCCACAACTCCCTTGATGGGTACTTAACAGCCCACCTCCTCCCGACATGAGCGCCTGTCAAGGCATATTCTGACAAAGCCATGCCATAGCGCCTACAACCAAACCATTCCGATCGTCGCAAATGGTCATTTCTACAACCACTCTCACCACCGTTACCATGGCAGCGACGCCTGTTTCCTCTTCCTTTCCCGACAAACACCGGTCACAGTACCTCTCCCGCGACGAATACATAGATTTACGAAATTCCCAGGACAAGCATCTGAATGCTGAACTCGCTTCAATCCGATGCTCCGTCGACGACGTGAAGCAGGAGTTGAACGACGTCAAGCGGGAGTTGAAAGCTGACATCAAGGAGGTCAGAGACAACATCACGGCTCTGAAAGACGACTTCACGGCTCTGAAAGACGACTTCACGGCTCTGAAAGACGACTTCACGGCCCAGAACCAGCGCCTTGGGCGACTCGAAGACCAGACCCAACGTCTCGAAGCCGAGGTTCGCCAGTCCCAAGCCTATATGCGCAATAAAGGGTTGAGGAATCCAACCCTCCCTATCCGACCTGTTGTTGTGTATCGCCCTGGACGCGGTATTCTTGAGCCTGATCCCTCACGTTTTCCTCGGAATGCGAACGATTTTTACTCTTTGAGGGATCCACAAACTAACCGGCACCGGTCCATGCTCGCCTACCTTGCCGACTTCTACGACGTCCAACTCAGAGGTGCCAGTCATTTTCCTAACGAGGAAAACAACAGTGACGATAGTGACGACGACGAAATCATTCTCGAACACCTTGAACTCGTCGTAGAGAAGTTGGAAGACATACTCGGCCTGAATGAAGATAAAATAATCAAGTTCAAGGAGAGAGCTCTGCAAACGGCATCACGAGCGCCATCGAAACCCATCAAACGCTCCCAAATATCCTGGCCTGAAGCTGGACCTGTTTCTGGCCCACGCCGACAAAAACTCGAACTACGTGTCACTTCTGGGCAAGAAGCGTACTTTTACGATCCCGAACGCCCGAAGAGTGTTTCCTCTGAAGGCTTGACCAATGTACATGTTGGATGGGGTACACGTTCAACGCCTTCCTCGCAACGGGCACGATTACAGTGGTCTCCCAAGGTGGCGCGCGTGTCCGAACCACCCAACCTTGAACCAGAGCGACCGAAGTCTGCGTCTAAGAGCACCGAGGCTGAATCAACAGACACCGATAACGATACACATGTGTTCACGAACTCGCCGGAACGGTGATCTCAGAAGACACGGCGGCTGGAACCAGTGGCCCATCAGCCAGGCGAATTCTGCACCCCTCTAGAGTGACATACGATTGTCGACTGAACACCTTCCAAGCTTGAGCCTGAATGGAAATGGTCAGGTGCGCATAGGGTTTGGATATGTGGAAGGAGGGCTACGAGCAGGTCTAGGACGTGTGACAGGAGCTGGAGAGTGACCGAGCTATCTTTTCCAATGACAATAGCTTGGCTCCCGGCTTTTTGGCACCGCGGTTACCCTTAGATACATATATTGTCGTTCGACATTTGAGCTTCTCCACATCGTACTGCCATCGAGATGAAAGGCTCCGGTACTAGACAGGATGCTTATCAGCTCGACCTGGCCTTTGAAGGTTTGCTTTCTAGTCTTGACGGTTGGGCGCTTGTATGGTGACCGAGACAGTTATGGAAAAGAATGATACCCGGACTTTGATATTCAGACGGCTCTAAACCTCCTGCGAAGACTTTTGTGAGATAATTCTTCCGGACTCGACGTTCGGCACGAGATGCGAACCGAAGTGTTAGGATGCAGCCCATCACCATGAACTAGCACCAGCTACACTGCGAAATGTATGACAGCCATCTAAAACGTGAGCAACAACTCATTACTCTTACTCAGAGGATCACAATCGTGTCCCTTAAGCGCATTCCCGATGTCCGGGAATCTGCGGCCCGAGAGGGGTTCAGAAAAGCGTCCTGGTTTGCTCGGTACGAAGTGGGGCCTTTGTGCCGGTTCCAGTTGGTGCAGTGACGGGTTGGGTCATGGCCACAAAAGCATTTCGGCCCACGCCGCGCAAGCACTCCATTCGAGTCGCCTCATCACTAACTCTCACGATGCTCCCCCAGAGAGACAGGGTCGAGTATATCCGCACCCAGGGCGACAGATGGTGATTGAGGGCTTGACAAGCATAGCCAGCCAGCCTTGCTGTCGCCTTTGAAGGGAGGGCGTGTGCCGCCGGCTAAAGGACAGAGGAAGGCGCAACAATCGGGCCTGGTCTCGCTGTGGGCCCCACATCATGCAAGCACTCAAGCCAGTGAGGGCCTCCGGCGCTGATCATCGTCTGAGTGCACAGGCCAGGAGTACCTGGGGGTGTTTGATACACGGGCGTAAGCCAAAATCGTCTTTGCGTTCGCGTGAGACTCAGGTAGCAGATAGCAATCCGTTGGTGGTATGTCGAGCAAGATCTCGTCGAGTCAAGCATTTCGTGGAAAACTTGATGGCGCCTGTTCAGAAATTGGGACTTTTGGTTCATGATTCAACAGCGACGCCTCGGAGTTCATCTATTTCTGGCATAAGCCATTTCTGGAGTAATCGATCAGGATCCCTGCCAGCGTTTCGTGTGGGCTGACAGAACCAAAACTGTCAAAAGGAGCCCGTGCGCTAAGAACCGGAAGAGTCTGATTCTACATGATGGGCAATGTTCCATGTACAAGGGTCTTGTAGCGTCTACTCAAAGCTACTTACTTACAGCCACTTTCCGCTGATCAAAACCAATTCTAGCAGGCAATGACGGCTGACTACGGCTCATATCTGTGCTGCGAAGTACTGTCAAAAAGCTCAAAGTACCTTTGACAAGCATCTGAATCAACTCCAAGCGCAGCAGTTACCGAAGCCAGCGCGCCAGAACGGCGTGCACGAGCGTCCTGTACCAAAATACGATGCGTAACACAGTCCACCTTGGCATCCAAGTGGCAGGGCACTGGCTATGGTCATCAGGAAACAAGCATCGTGGCCCTGCGTGGGTAGGTGTCTTTATCTCTTAGATCACTGGAATTAGGTGACTAGGGCTGTTGGACCGCTACTGTCAGTAGTATTGACAGCACCGGCCCGTTGCACACTATGAAGTCTTTGACATTCCCTGGAAATTCAATAGCGCTACTATTCCCGGGTCGCTCATCCCCAGTAACACCATGTGCAGGCCTTAGAAATGATCAACTCGGATGCTTGCGTGAACTGGGTGTGGCGATTGATCGTGGAAACGCTTTTCGTTTGTCTAGCTGACTTTACCATATATACATACCCTTATTGTGCTGTCACTTGGACTATTTTCCCATGCTGCACGTGCTGTGCCCTCCCAGAGGCATCATCTCTTGCCCTGCTGGCTCGTCGCAGGAATATGCATCCACACCATGATTCTGAGCCAGAACACCACGACGATCTACCACTGACGCCCTCTCCCCATCGCAACATGAGGCGTTGTTTTCTTCTTCTGCGGTTGCCTGTGTTGTACAGATGGTCGAGGCGCGGCTTCGCTTACCGGCAAAGTCCTGCGGGGTTTTTGTCACAGGGACAGGGTACATTTTTCCCTTCTCAATGTTAACATTAGACGGTTACCCTACAGCGGTACTTACCACCTCCGCCTGGGTCTTAGGCCAGGATGGCTCGTTAGATGAAGTGTAAATGAAGTACCTCTGTGACCGATGGACTTGGATGTATATGTCGGCATCGTATTGCTCTCTTATTCGGTCGCATCGTGCTAAAAGATTCTTCGTTGCCTTGACGAAATTCTCACTAGACCTGTCTCGCTTCTTGACTAGGCGCTAAGGGGGAGATGCCATGTTCAGGCCGCGGAGTGATGCTATTGCCAAGATGGATGCTGCCCGACAGTCTGAACTTATAAATACAGTGCCACCGAAATAGAACATGAACAATATTCCAGCATCTTGAATGACGTGTCCAAAAACAGCCGTCTTTAAGAGTATCATTGTTTTCCACCGGATTACCCTGTGGTAGTCGCAATTCCGGGGCCAGATCCCGAGCATGAGAAGCCAAAAATGGCCGTGTTTATTTTAAGCTTGCTTACCTTGCCAGATGTTCCACGGCGTGACGTAGCGATGTAATGTCCCGTGCCTGATCCCGTGACAGAGTTACCGTTACATTTCGCACACCAACGTGTCTACCATCAGTTATACTGGTATGAATAGCATACTAGTATGCTATCTATACACACCCGGCCGGTATACTGGTACGAGCAGCATACTGGTACGAACAGCATACTGGTATGAATAGCATACTGGTATGAATAGCATACTGGTACGAACAGCATACTGGTATGAATAGCATACTAGTATGCTATCTATACACACCCGGCCGGTATACTGGTACGAACAGCATACTGGTACGAACAGCATACTGGTATGAATAGCATACTAGTATGCTATCTATACACACCCGGCCGGTATACTGGTACGAACAGCATACTGGTAAGAACAGTATACTGGTACGAACAGCATACTGGTACGAACAGCATGCCGGCATAAGTTGAACAACATACTAGTACAATAGCCAGGTCTAGAGTCTTGCATCTGTTCATACTAGTAAGCTGTTCGTACTAGTATCCTACGCATTTAGCAATAGTACGCTTTTGATATTGGTATGCTTTCGGCTTGCGTTTGCGTCACTAATTCATTCATATCTCTAGAATCTCACATCTTACGATTGTCAAACTATACCTTCTTACGTCGTTCCTAGAAAGGCCGGCCGGACATGCAGTCGCTAAGTGTTCGTTGACGCAACGTTCCTTGCAATTCAGAACACCAAGCATTTCTCTGTGTTCGAAAGATTGACGTCGCCACTTGACTAGCCATCATTCTTAAACTAATGAGATAGGGGGAGCCGCAAGCTAGTTGTTCGAAAACAACTCGGCTGTAGGAACCCCTTGCCAACGCCCATAGTAACGGCCAATGAAGATCTTCCTGATAAGCCGAAGGACATCGCCAGAAGGCGATGAACGTCTCCCCTATCTGCACGGCTCATGTACTTTTACCATAATTGCGGCGGAAATGAGTTTTGGTAAAAGGAAAAGAAGGAAGAAGAAAGAAAAACCCAAGCTTTTTACTTGTGTATGCCACTGATTTCTGATCGTCGTCCATATTGACTTGAGTGCATTCTATCACCAAGCTGCCACTTGAAATTGCTTGCAAATTACCAGCTTGCCACCGCGCCAAAACTGACTTTATCGGCTGAGTGCAACAAGAGCCAATCAGATATCAATAATGTTCCCGCCACGAACCGAGGACCCACTCCTTGAATACTGAAATACTCCACACATATTGTAGCAAGCACTTTTCCCAACTCTCCAAGTAGAGGTAAGTCAAGCATTCTGCTCTTTCCCCACTGTGATGGCTTGTATAGATCGAGGACGCGCGCAGAACGTGACCGGCTCTCAACCTTTGCGAGCCGGTGTCTAGGTAGTAGCTTTTTCTTCGCTACAGTCGTGCACAGCTGACCATTAGCAGGCAAGCAGTTCAAGAACCGAGAGAACAAGAACGACCGTCGGACGAGTGTCTGTTACGCCCCATAGCACGACAATTACGAGCTTCCCACCCCATATCGAAGGAATCATCTTCCACGACGGCTTCAACGGTGGCCGCTATGCCAGGCTGAGCGAAAGCGTTGCCTAAGGCTCACAAGCACGAAATGACGCGAACAGCCTGATGCTCCTGACTCTCTCCGGAAGAGCGACCTTTGAAGCGATTGTGACAGACCGTCTGCTGCGCGAAAACATTTATGAGGTTGCAAGTAGATGATTCAATCTTGTCATTATCATAGCAACGTGATAATGTTATCAAATGGATGCGATTCCTTCCAAACAGGAGTCTCAGGACAGGTTTACTGGCGGTTCTCATGTGGATCTCATGTTCAGGGCTGGTCGTTTAGTATTTCGATCTGAAGTGGACATACGCAGTCCGGAGAAGCTTCTTCTCGAACCCTATCACCTAAAGCCAATCAAGAAAGTATCGCAGCTCATGGTCCATCTACTTTTGCTGGCCCACTAGCGGCGGCGGGTCACTTGACGTCCGATCCATTGAAGGCTCCGTGGGATAAAAAAACAGCCGAATCGCGTCTGTTTCTTTGTGCCACAGCATTACTGTGACGCATAGCCCTTCGCATGGCTCTGCGCGGCGTGTCCTCATCTTCGGCGTCTTGGACTCCGGCACGCGTAAGCACGTACCCATGGCACACAAGGTCTGATGTACCTTCCTCTTCCTCCTCCGTACCTTGCTCGAGGCCGATCACGAGAAAAGCTGGCCACACAACCTGAAATACATCTTGAGTCGAGAACCCCACCAGCTTCGAGTGTTCCTGTCGTGGCTGATGCCCTCCTTTTCCCTGACGCGGTGGTGATGCCTTCGCGCGATTGTCTGATGGAACTGTGTCTACCCATGGCGGCAGTTGCTGCCAATCGTCCAGGGTCTCGAAGGTAAAGCACGGCTCGACCCTTTCGCGTAGCCTTTGTACACGTTGCCAAGCCCCACACAGCATGCTCGTAAGGCTGCTAAGACGTGATCTCAGTGTCGCGCGTCGATCGGCCGGTACCCAGCCAACTGTTGCCGCTATCACATCCTCGATCACGTGCTCGGCACACGCTTCTTGACGCATCCTCTGCTTGTCCGGCAACACCTCGAGCAGCACGGCTCGAACAACTGTGTCTTGAAAGGCATTCGTCGTAGGCAGCGCGTCTAACAACTCTTTGTCATCACTTTCCTGTGAAAAGTACGTTGGTCGGAAGACGTATCTGGTCAGCGCTCTAGCATAAATGATCAGGCCCGCAGTTGCCCTCATCTGCTTCGCTTGGGTTGAATTCGAGGCCGGTAAGGGAATTGCACGTTGTATGGCTACGTGATTCCTAACGCGATCCCAAAAACTCAGGTCCTGTAGCTGGTCCTCGGAGATATCACGACCGAGGAACTCCCAAAACAAGGCTGAGGCGTCTTTGAACGACGAGGCAAGGATATCTGTTCTGACATGGATAGTTAGCATCCTTCATACCGTGCTCAATAACTTTGTGCATACATCTCCACTCTGACATCTTTGAGAGATGTCATCACAGCAGTGTAGGACATGATTGTTGCGAGCTTGCTCTCTGCAGTTGCTAAAGCCTTTGAACTGGTGCCTAGCTGGTCGTTTGTGGCCTGCAACTTGCTCTTGAGCGTAGCGGTTTCCTCCTTGGCCGCCTTGAGCTGGTCTCTTTGTCCGTCAATGATGCTGTCAAGCTCCGTGATGCGAGCCTCGTGTTTCTTGCTGGTAGCGATGGATCTTTCGACATCCTTCACGAGGAGTTCAGCTTTTTTTTCCCACGTCGTGGAAGTGTCCTGTTCAGTCTTAAGCTTTCGGTACGCCGTTGCTTTTTCTTCCAAGACCTTTTTGTAATGTTTGTTGTGCTCATCAGTCTTCTTTTGGAACAACTCTTTTTCAACGTTTCGATCTGTGATCACTTGGGTCAATTTTTCGAGGTTCTTGCTGTAAGCGGTTTTCGTGTCACTAAGTTCCTCTCCAAGCCTGTCATGATCTCGGACCATGGTCTGCAAACCCTGGAACCCACTCTCGGTGCAAAATCTCCCAAGGACAGAAATGAACTCGTCGAAAACACCTTCAGGCCCTGAGATATGAGCGGGCTTGCCTGCCTTGGGAGGATCGTGAGTCGGTGGCGAAGTCATCGTAGTGGCAGATAGGCCTTTAGCCAAGAAGTTGGCTAAAAGAGGAAGGAGTAGGTAGACAAAAAACAGAAGACGCCTGTTGTGCTTGATGGTGTTTGGTTGTGCACACATTGCGGCTTATCAACTCAAGACCTCGTCTGCTCGGTCCGGGTCACCCTTCGCTTCACTCTTCCACGGACGTCAGCTTCACCACCGCCTGTCGGTGCTTGACATCGATGGTGTGACCAGAGAACGACCTGATACGCGAGGCAAGTGGAAAGTATTGGGTGAGGGATCCAGAGCCTGCAGGCGACTGCTACGATCATGCAAGTTGGCAATAAAGTGCTGAATCTGCTTCCTACATGATGCGGTTGGCTCAAGATTATCAAGGGCGCAGCACGCTGGCATATGAAACTCTCGCGTTACGGAGCGCCACGTCTCTCATGGCCTGGCCTGAGGTTCTCTTCAGGGCGAACGGGCCAACCAAAAGACGCATTGTCTGCAATGGCGGCAGTCCTTGGCAAGAAGATTGGAAGATGTTGGTTGCGCCAGCTGTCGGTTGAATTCCTCTACCCCATGCTTTCGACCGCATAAAGGGCTACAGGCGGGGAAGTCTATTATGATATGCTTCATCGTACCCTTACCTGGCTTCGTTGCAGAACAACGTCACAGTGAAGCAGCTCAACCTGCCAATGCCATTCAGCACCCAACAGCACCTGAGAGCTGCGCATATCTTGGGCATTGATCGAAATGAAATGTACATATCAAAACGTAACAGTAGGGCTGGCGGGACGTTGGAGATGGTATCCGGAGTGTTTGATCTCAAAATAAATCAAGCTGGCATCTCCTCCTCACAGAAAACTCATCGGGATAGAAGCACGTGACGATGGGAGCAAGCTGGTCTAAACTGGCAAACCATCTATGGAAATTTTCTTGAACTGCCAAATTCCCTCAGTGTTGGACAGATATGCTGAGAATCTATCAAGAGCTACACGTGGCAAAAACCAGCCGAAGTGTGAGTGGCGGGCCATTGCAGATAGGCACCGGTTCGCGGGAGGCCGCTTGCCAAGGATTTGAGGAAGTCGGGGATAATATTCACCACCATCCCTGTCTGTCGCAGCATCTATACAGAGTGTACCGGAAATGAGAGTTACGCTGTACGTATTGGTTTCTTCTAAGCATCTGCGCAAGGTCGGCAAGAGGTTTGGGCAATAAGCACCGGACACCAGCAGCGATCCAGCGCCCAGGGGGGTAGCGGCAAAGGAGGAAGTAATTCGGAAACGAGGCTGTACCAGAGGACCCATTCAGCATATGATTGGCTTAAGTACGGCACAAGGAAGGTTCCGCTGCAAGATGATTACACATTTGTAACCTATCAATTATCTAATGGGTTTGTTGGTTTCAAAAGTTGAATCCATCTGGATGCCAGGGATTGTGGCGATACGACTTGGCCACAACCAACATACAGGAGTGCACGCGACACGCCATAGCCACTAGAATCCAAGAGGATGAGCTGCAAGCCTGCGGGAGCTTTTCCTCGTGAGGAAGTAGATCGTTCTCGTTTGGAAAGAAAACCCCGTCAGAAAAGACGCCTGCCATTCGATAGCCAGCTAGAAGTTTAGTGTTGCGTTAGGCCCAATATATACATACTATTCATGTCTTCCCACGAGACCGACCTGGGAAGTCGTTCGTGGCGGCCGTTGATCTGCTTGGTATGGCACTAGTAGCAAAGCACTCATTGGCTCAAGTTAAAGGGCTGGGAGTAGCTTAGAAACCGGATATATCGAATCCTCCCCCCCGCGTCCTAGATCGACACTCCGATTGGCTGACTTGCAGCACAGGTGAACTTTTGGAAAGGACCGTGCCTAACCCTAGTGAGATTCTCCTTCCGGCGGTTGGATTCAACTCTCTCAGCGGGTCTCAACGGCCAACAACCTGCAATGACGGGTCGGATACGCCCGCAATGGGCAACGTCGAGGATGTATTTGCGACAGATGATCGATACTGTACAGCTATGTCTCCACAGTTAGATGCCCTGGCCCTCCCCGCTGAGCTCAGTTGGAATCGACGCGCCGAGGCGGCTTCAAGAAGTAAGACGATGTTGGTCTGCTGCTTAATGTAGTCATCTCAAGCCAGAGTGGCTCTCGAACCGTGTCTGCCGTTGTTCCATTCCATAGTGTAGCTGTATAAGTCTCTCACACAACCCTTTGCTCGTGTTACCGTTTCAGATGCATTCATTTTGTGATCTGTCGAGTTGAAGCCTGGGCTTCACGAGCCACACGGGATTCGTCGCTGCATACAGCTGTCTGCCTGTCCGTCGATCTGCCGCACAATCGGCTGAGCCAGACTGATTCAAGACTATAGCAGTATAGAAGGTCAAGCACGTTCGGACTGGCGCCTGTTTGCAACTTCAATCCATGCATGCGAAATCTCTAGCGAGACAAGTCATAGCGTAACTAAAGGGGGCACTGTTATAAGCACCTGCTCCCGTACTGGAGAGCAGAGGGTTTCATGTACATATTCCAATCCCAATTCTCGACTTTACACCACAGTACTGCTTCAAGCGAAGGCATTAAAGAGGTAGCACATCAAAATTGATCGATGCAACCAGAAGTACAAGTCGACTTTATTTTGAACGTAGTTTGGTTTGCTTCGTTGTGTCTAAGCCGATGATCCAGATGACGAAGCGCACTCAGTAACTACTTCAACGAGGACAGAGAGCGGAGGGTCCAAACAGTTACCAGGAACAGTTACCACAGAGTAGATGGCGCCAAAAGATTATGCAGAGGAGCGTTGTTGGTCCAGAATTGCCCAAGGGAACGACGCCAGGAAGACAGATGGCTCGCACTGAGAAGGCAGATGCTACCACACAAATGCTACCACATAAATGCCAGCATACAGATGCTAGCATACAGATACTAATAAACAGGGATCACGTCAGGTAAGTGCTGCCCGCATTGAGTGCAATCCAACTTCCCTCTCGCCTAATTTTTCTTGGCATCTGCTGTTAGTGAATGAGTGAGCCTACCACCAAATTACTAACAGCCGAAAACTCTTCACCTCCCCTTGCCGGAGCCCGCATCCGCGATGGCCTCACAGCCGCCGTCGGGCACCGGACTGATGTCGGCCGACCAAGCCGACCCCGAACCAGGCTCCGGGACACCTCCGGAGCCGAACCCCACCTCAAGAGCTAAGCGACGCCGCGACGCCGAGGCACAGCCGACCCGGCCCAGCCTAACGGGAAGCCAGCTTGATGCCACCACCGACGCCCCTACCTCGGCCGAGGGGCCCGCAGCCTCTACCGCATCTGCTCCGAGCGGATCTGCCACAGGGTCCGTCTTGACAGCCCTTGCAGAAGAAGCTAGACAGTACGAGGCACGGAAAGACGTCTTTCTGACCATTGCACGGTCCGTCGACAGCGTTGTCGCCAGCTTTGACGGTTCTAGAAAGCAGATCGCGAAAGAAGCCACTGCCTATGTCATTCAAACCCTCAAGAGACTGATCAATCACGAGACAAGCCCAATAGCGGCCCGGAGTTGGGCGGCTGTCGTCGCACCGATGGCGGGCAACACCACTGCGGCGACCCGGAGCGGCCAGAGCTGCCAGAGCTCTGCCCGCCCGAAGGCCACACTCCCCGCCGAGGATCAGCCGCAGGCGCAGCCGAAGGAGGACCTCCGCATCTTTGCCCGCGTCCCGGAAGAAAGCTTAGCGGCCGCTCGGAAGATCGCACCGTTCGCCGTACGACAGATCGTCTGTAAGGCCGTTGGCCTGGGGCTAGCGGACCTTCCCCACGTCTACCATATCAGCACAGGTTACTCTCTGAAGCCGCGAAACAAGCAAATACAGGAAAGACTACTTGCAAGTAAGGCAAAGCTGGCGGAATGCCTCGGCGCCCACCAGGTCGAGACGCCTATCAAGTAGTACACTTACGTTGTGCCGCGATGCCCAACAAAACTACACAGCATTGGCGGGGACGTCCTGGACCCAGCACACTC